TCCATGATCTTTGTGATGTTTGATTGCGATGATTCACCATGACATCATCGTGCTTCTCTCACCTCGAGACGGATAATAATATAGAGACTGTCTAACAATACACTTTAAAAGATGTCCAGAGGACATCCACAGGATGTTTTATAGCCCGGGAATAACATGGAAAGCGCGCGCTATGATGTATATTACCTTGTTAGAAAATAATAATAATAGAAGATAGAAATTTTATTACATTTAATTTTTTATTTATTTATTTTTATAGCTATCTTGCCAGCGGCCGATGATTGGAACGATGGTGTTCTTCTACCCGTCAGCTTCGTTTTCGAGCATCATCTGAACAAGAGCAACTCGCCCCACGTTTACGTCGACATAATCCTCGCGGATGATCGCGCTCCACACGTTGAAGTAACTAAACTTTCCGTTGTCGGAAAAATCAGCAAAATATGAAAAAAAAACTTGATAAAAAAATTTGGTTAATTAAATTTATTAGAATAGAAATGTATATATAAGCTAAAACTTTGGAAAAGCTTATGCTATTCATTCTCAAGTTAAAAAAAAAATTATAAGTCAGCAAACGCTTCATTAGAAACCTTTTTTCTCTACAGTAGAGAATTATTATTATATTAGTTTAATTAATTCTACTATCAATTTTCACAATCTTAATTAACATTGTGTTCCATTATTCTCTTCGCAATTCTCATGATCTGTTTAATTAATATTAAAAATTAATATCACATATATTTAACTTTATATATTAATTTAAAATTAAAGATGAAAAATAAAATATAAAAAGTTTTCTCGCCAGGGCTTAATTTTGTGACATTGTGGTAAGCATCTTCGTTAAAATTGTAGAATATTATGGACCTGCGAGGACACAGATGCGCCATTCCAAACAGATGCGACAAAATCTGCGCCACTTCATTGCTCTTCAATTATTTGCGCACGAGAGGCGAGAACCCGGCGTTTTTCGGAAATATACTTGGTCGGTTTAACAAACATCACATTCATATATTTATTATGATACTTCTTTATTTATCTATCGTATATATTTTCATATTCGTTTATTATCTGTATTCATTTTCGCTAGTCTTCTTAAAAAATTACACATATCAGAAATAAAAAAAGCGACTAAATTAAAATCGAATATTTCTAATGTTTTTAACGAGAATTTTAGCGAAAATAAATATATAAATGACGAACTATGGAAAAATATACAGAATAATAGATACCAAAAAAATGTATTTTCAGCAAGAAAATATTAACTATTAATACATCATCTGTTATATTCTCAATAGAAAAAAGGCGAAATAATTGTAGATCGTATATTTTATCGAGGTTTCACGCATTTCAATTGTATCTTGCAGATGGTAATTCGCAACTTGATGTGTTGCGAATGGTTGTCGGGAAGCCGGCGGAAGTGGGTGTCGTGGATGCACCGGTAATCAGATGTCACAAGATGAACATAATCGGCGCAGAGTTTCTTCAAATCCTTGCCAGTCTGGGACCTCTACCGCCTTATCGCATCATGATCAACAAAGTGCTAGGTATAATATTCCTCTATATATTCACGATAGAGACCCTCAAAATACCAGTATTGGCGTTAGAAGAATTCTTCTAACGCAAATACTGAATCGTTCAATCGTTTTTACGCGACTGAAATAAGAGAGATTAATATAAATAATAAATAAGATTAATATAACGTCTAATTTATGAAGAAGAAATGAAACCTCAAAAACTGAAATCAAAATTTAAAAGAATCTGCAAATATGAAATGAAGATAAATACCATACAATGAAAATAATGAATCCATCTAACGTTTTAAAATCGCAGCAAAAAGAAAAGAGAGACCACGAGTTTCTTTATGATCTTAATTTTATTTTTAATTTCATGCCGCAATAAATTAACGTTCCGTGATTAACTTTTTTCCGTTGTTTATCAGTAGATGTACTCGCCAAAGAGCTCACAACTTATCTGCTAAATATCAATCAGCACAAGGAATGGATGGACAGACTGTCATTCTTCGGCATTGTCGGTTTTGCCGAAAATTCACTAGATTTTTACAACCTGGACGACGTAAAATCCGTAGCTACTAGCGTACCTTACTACTAAGCTTGTTTTATAATACATATTTATTATTTATCTCTCTCCTAGTTTTTATATATACTTTCTTTTATTTGGGTTTTTTTCAATAATATAATCTTTTATTAAATCTAAATAAATATAATAATTCACAATTTTATCCTCGGCGATTATATACACGATTCGTTAAAAAAAAAATCTCTCTCTCTCTCTCGTCTCTCGCTCGCTCACTTATTCTCTTTCATTCTTTTTCTTTTGCCCAATTTCGCTTCCTCTCTCGCGATAGTACACGTTCCGGTCAACTAGATTGATCCACGATCGATACGTATAGAATAAAGTATTATCAAAATCCATTTTGTGTGTAAATTGTATCCACCTTGTTTTTTTAATTAAATAAATTTTTGTAAGTCTTCTTGTCCCTCATTGCAGTTATTATAATTGAATTATATACATCATTATAAAGCGAAAAATCAAGATTTACAATTACAATATTTATTATATAATTCACGAATCATCAAAATATGTTGTAATACATTTTACCAATTTATTTACCAACCAATGTTATTAAATGTGTGATAACATACGACAAAACTAACATATTTCAATATGTTTCGTAGGAAAAAAGTTCACATGATTTTTCGCTTCTGTAATTCCATATGGCTGCAGTGAGAAAATAGAAGTCTTGAAGACTATTAAATTTTTCAAGATGATTGAGACTTTGCTTCAAATAATGCTCGAAGCGACCTGAAACTTTTACGTTCAAAACAATTAAAAAATATTTCTTAACCTAATTTTCTAAACTTGTAATAGCTTCAGCCTACATTTAAGTCACTACGTCGTCGAGAGGATCTAACAGGAGATCATAAAAAGTTAGGCGGAAGCATTCCGTCAGCCGGATGTATAGTGCCAGTTGCCAAAGCATTGCGCAAGAACTCTTCCAGCCGCATCAGAGGTCCACCGCCATCCGCAACATTTCGCATACGCGGATAGTATTGCTCCGATAGCAGTATCAATAATTTGTGAAACTGCGTCGGATAAGCAGTCCATAACACATTACCAGCAACTTCGAGCATATCTAATATTAATGTCGCGCACAAGTCGCAAATATCAGCTCTTGGTTCTGAAAAATGAAGAAACTTTTATTATCACATGTAAAGCGTCATTTTTGTTGCGTTATTTTTCACAGTATATTGACAACAAATTTTTTTTCTTTGCATATTATCAACATTTTTGTTTCATTCTATGCATAACAATATTTTTTATATTTTTATATTTTTGACACAGAATATATCTATGTATAGACAATCTTTATAGATTCCATTTTCAATAAGTTTTTCTTTTTATAATTTTAACAAATACGCGCCTCGATTTCAGAGAATTAATACTTAAATTTAAATAACATCACAATTAATTACGTCACAAAATGTAACATTCTTACCGATATTAAAAACGGCCGCCAACCATCTCCAAGCATGCTGAAGACCATAGGGATGAACTTTGGTGACACCCTTCCGCTGTCTTGTAACGGTAATCGACGCGTACAATCTCATCAAGCCTGACATCCTCTTTAGGAACTTGTCCTGCTTTTCGACAGTGCCGTCCTCAGAATATTTGCAGCCGAGAGATTTGTAGTAATCCTCATTGGATTGACTTTCTTGTTGTGGCAGGAAGATTGGTATAGTGAACGGACACGCCTCGTGAAGACGCGCCAGAAAAAGTTCGCCAAAATCTTCATGCTCGTTCCAGAGTGCTACGACGATCATCGCTACGGGAAATGCCATTTCCGGCTTGCTCGATACCAACGTCTCGCCTTGGCTCTAGAAATTCATATCAAATAAAAACTCATTCTTTAAGATAACAAAACGCTTTCAAGCTAATAACAAAATAATTTACTTATAATTAAAATTAACTTTTCTATTTAAAAAAATTTAATTTTTATCAAATCATGTGATTTTTTCTTTATTTTTTCTTTTAATTATGATTTTAAGAGATTCCTACAGATACGTACAACTATCTTTTTTGCCATATGATCCTTGCAGAAGATCACTCCTTGCGGATGTTGCGTCACGTTAGGAGATGATTTTCCAATCAGAAGGTTATGCAATCTGTCGTATTTGTCTCTTAAATGTTGCTCGCTAACGCCGGAGATCGCGTTTACCGGAATATTGATTGCCTTCTGACATTCGAAGCGAAACTTCTTCGTAGCAGTCGATTGTAAGAAATCCTTGCAAGTTTTTTTATAAAGATTTAAAAATTGTTGGTTCTTGATGTAAATCTGCAATGACTCCTTATCAACGTACTTGAAAAGATTTCCTGTAAATTTATGACATAAGAAACACATTAATTAATCTCCCTATTTAAACAAAAATTTAAATTTAAATAGATAGAAAATTAGATTAAATTAATATTAGTGAACATACTTTTTAATCAAGATATGTGAAATATGAATTTATAGAATAGAATAAAATATTGTAAACACATATAATATTTAAAATGCATTTTATATACTAAATTGTGTAGATTTTAACATGCCTTCTTTGCATTCAGAATCTGCAGCTGTTTCTTCCGACTTAGGTACAGATGCAGATGGTGTAACTGGTGCATTAACTAATACAGCTACTGCTTCCTGATTTGTTATCACGCTGGAGTTTTGTGCTTTACTATCATTATTCTCTACAGCATAGCTTTCGCCTGGATGCTGAGAAGACACCACATTGCCAACTGGAATATTTTCAGATTCCACAATTGGTTGAATCTCACTTGCAGCTTGTGCTTTACGAGCCAATTCCGCTTCGTATTGAGCATCTATTTTTTCTAAAGTTTATAACAAAACATATTTAATTGAAGTTTCTACGAAAAAAAAAATTTGACTGTCTGCAAGAAGGTCACAAACCTATCTCCGTCCGAAATGTAGTCAGTATATCGTCAATGTGATGAACCAAGCTCTCGATAACATTTACATCCATGGATATCAATTCTCCACTCTATAAAAATTCATAATTATTATTACAAATAATATGATAACTTGTACAGAATAATTTAAAAAAATGTCGCGTTTCTAAAAATTTATCTTTTTTTTTATAATTACTTTAATTTTTTCATCTAAGGGTTCGATCTGTTGAATCAGTTGTTTTATCCTTGCAGAATTTGCTGTAAGGATCATGTCAATTGCATACTTGTCTTTACAATTCTTGGATAGCGTTACGATATCACAGTATTTGGCCGTGAAATGGCCTCGATGGACCATCACAATCTTTGTCAATTCCTCCTTTTCCTTCATCCGCTTTCGATACTCCTCTACTTCTCGTTCAAGCTTTTCCTTCTGTTCTTGAGCGCGTTGTGCTTGTAGTTGTTGCTCGTGCCGCCTTTTAATTTCCTCTTGCTCTGCGATTCGCTCAATCTCGGCCAGGATATCTGCTAACTTCTCCTCGTTCCGACGTTCGCGCTCGCGTGCCATCAATGAGCGCGAATTCGCCATTTTTTCCTGTATGACACGACCATTCTCTTTCATGTGATTAATACGACAATCCATCTTTTTCTGCAACACAATTTCCTTACATAGTATCATATTCTGAGCCTATTGCTGTTATTATTAAATCTTGTTATAAATATGATCAACTATATACGATAATTAAATTACCCTGACTTCCTCCTTTCTTTGCTTTTCACTTTCCAAAAGAATTTTCTTGGATGAAAAGTAAATGCCATTTGAAGTAGATATTGTGCTGTGCGTAAAACTGCTATTAGTTTTCTGTGGGATTTTAATGTTACAGGAGTTTTGCTCATTCTCAATATTTTCCAGTTTGTTGGAGTCATCTTTATTTGCCACTGATTGAGGACCAATTGTAATATGATCCATCATCGCTGATATACGTGATGCTTTCTCCAAGGTAGATACCTTGAGATTCTCAAAATCCGATATGATGTCCATGTCGTTCACCTTTAAAACAGCATTTATCAAATATTTGAATACAAAAACTTTCAAAGGGCAAATATTGTTAACTACAATTTCTAATAAATTGATTGAACATGAAGTAAATATAAGTATGCTATATATAATAAAGAGATTTTATACGTTTTTATTAATTTACAAGTCAAATTTATTTATAATATTAACGAAAATTTTATTCAAAATACATGGAGTAATGTAAAACATTATAAATTGCACAATTATGACAAACAAAATCCTCTAAAAGTTTGCTCCAAATTATGGAATCTCTTTTTCATTCATTTGACTAGAATAACGCAAAACTTCATCGTCTTACCTTAGTTCTCGATTTCTCTTTTTTTGAATAAAGTGACATGATTTTGCGAGAAGACACACATTCGCTCGTGAATTTAACTCTACGCTCATGTTTTCAGCGATACATATTCCATTTAATATATCCACGCAAAGCCGAGATTGCGGATTGCGCCGTTTTATCCGGCAGAAGCGATGACGCGACGAGTGCCAGGTGATGGGCATAGACATATGACATAGACATAGACTACGTTTACACGTGACCTCTAATCGGGTTTAATAATATCCCTAGTTCTAAACCTGGCCAATCACAGTCATTCCATTCTTCAGAGGAATAGCTGTGATTGGCCAGTTTTACAACTACGGACAGAGAGAAGCCTGAGAAGGGTCACGCCGCCGTTTTTCATAAGACATTTTTTCTAGGTGGTACAATAGCGTCAACTAGATCCATTTCAGAGCCGGCGGAACTAAATGGCCAGATTTATTTTTCGGTGCTATGGTAAAACAACCGGTGTGTGCTAGATCCATAATTATGTGGATCAAAATTGCGGAGAAATATTATGGATTTATTAATGTTTTATTAGCTGGACGCGTGATGTTCTGCCACAGTATATATTACGGACAGCGATAATAAATTATTATTAAAATATTTTTATGTATATGCTCATGTAACATAAAATACATTTTCTTAAATTAACCTTTTTAATAATTTTTTTCCTAATTTTTAAATATGTAACATGTAAAAGATATTTACAATAAATTGCTTTTACTTTTTTCTTATTCTTGAAACAAAATTATCAAGCATTTTAAGCAACATCAAATTATTATGCCTTTAATTTATATAATATATTATATATATTCCTTTATTATATAATATTTCACAAGTATACATATATGTGTCATATTATCATAGAAAATAAAACTTTTATATTTTGCATTTTAATTTGCATTTAAAAATAGTTTTAATAGATTAATGATTTTTTGCGATTAAAATGATACCAGACACGACATAAACCGGATAATTTTTAGTTAAATATGTAATCAAAATTTTTATTAGTTTAATTAAAAATTATCTGATTTATGTTATGTTTGATGTCATTAATCCATTAAAATTATTTTCAAACTGATAAAATACAAGTAAGAATCTTTCTTAAAATAAGAATCAAAATGACAGAAATGTAAATTATAAATTATCGTTTTGTTGCAATCCTTACGAACAAAAACTATTTTTCTATCGATTAAAGTAAAAATATTATGCCCCATGCTTTATCGTACAAACGATAAGCTCCGTGATATATTAATCGTTTATTAAATAAGCGATCTATAATTTAAAATATTTGTATAATTTAATATTCCGCTTGTATACATATACGTCATAGTACGCAAGATATTTTTGGCTACGAATTATTAATAACATAGTATTCGGTCTTGGTGGGATAAACATTAGCGCGCTATTGTTTACGTTTTACGAGCCGTAAGTTACGGCTTTATCATTCGCACGGCGACACTCGAACAATAATGTAGTATTGCGAGACACTTCGTCAAAATCCTTTTCTAAACGCGATCGCGACGAGTATCGGGCAATAATTTGATATAATTAATAATTAATTATCTCTCTTTCTTTTACTTTCTAGGCAACAATTATTTAAAAATACTTAAAATTAAATATATTTTGTTCGATGTTTTTTCGTTCGACTTTTCGACGATCTAAATATGATTTCGATTGAGAACGCGCAATAAAATGGTCCAATCGCAGATCCGAGTAATTAACATAACGATAAACACCGTGATATATTAATCGTTTATTAAATAATCGATCTATAATTTAAAATATTTGTATAATTTAATATTCCGCTTGTATATACACCATAGTACGGAACATATTTCGGCAGCAAATTATCAATAACAAGTATTCGGCTTTGGCGGCGTAAACATTAGCGCGCTATTGTTTACGTTTTACGGTTTTGTTATTATTCGCACGGCGACACTTGAATAATACTGTAGTAGTGGGAGACGCTTCGTCACAAATTCCTTTCCTATAATATTTATTATCATTCACGCGAAGACATTCGAACAGAAAAGTAGTGATGTGAGACGCTCCGTTACATTTCTTTTCCACACGCGATCGCGCTGCACCGATGGAGCAACCCTGTGGTAAGTAAATTGTTATTTGTATATTAATTACTTACTAATTGCATATGTGCAATTTAAATTGAACAATTAATCGCGTAATTTGATTTTTTATGTATATAATTTATACAAGAGAGAATTAGAGGAAAATATTTTTATATGAAAGCTATAATCTTGTAACAGTTTCTACTTTTAGATTATAGCTTTTATATGAAATTATTAGTTATTAGTAGTTTTTTTTCAAAATTTATAAAATTATTTTATTAATCTGCATATTATTATATGCATCGAATATAAAATTCAATGCGTATAATAATTTTTTTTAATG